GGGCCCCCCCCGCCCCCGCCGCAGCGGCGGACGCGGCGGTTGCGGCGGCGCAAGCGGCGGTTGCGGTGGTGAGGCTGACGAGCAGCGGAAGAGTCGGCGGTCACGTCGCCGGAGCTGCCGGGACCGGAAGAGAGAGACGGGCTGCAGCGAGAATTCAAACTGTGTTCAGGGGCTATTTGGTAATTTTCATTCCCACTTTGATTGAAAAAAATAATAATTTTTTTACATGGAATTCGATACAAAGATCAGATTTTGCCATGTGGGTTTTGCTTAGATTCGGATTTTAGCTTTGCTTAAGTTATACTCTTGGGGTATGTCTGTAGTTAGCATCAGTTAAAAGTACAGAACTTGGCTTTGTTCTTACATCTTTGATTGACCGTTGTCGCATTCTGACAAAACAAAAAAAAAAGTGCTAATGAAACAGTACATTATATATCTAAATTGATTTTAGACTAAGGTTTTTAAGTGTGTAACCAATTTGAATATAATTTCGGGTTTTCGAAATTTGCAGGCAAGGAAAGCTCTTAGAGCTCTCAAGGGTCTAGTGAAGTTACAAGCATTGGTAAGAGGCTATCTCGTCCGAAAACGTGCGGCTGCAACTCTTCAGAGTATGCAAGCCCTTATCCGAGCTCAAACCTCGGTCCGATCTCAACGCCTCAACCGTTCTCTGAACATCAGAGACTGCAATAACGTGTTTCAGCCCCGACAGTCCATGGTAAGGAACATTAAAACTTGTTGTGATTGGATATGTAACAATTCGAATGTTTCGAAATCTTGAGCATTGATTCTTTGTTTTGTAGGAACGGTTTGATGATTCGAGGAGCGAAATCCACAGCAAGAGGATGTCAATCTCGGTAGAGCAAAACAACAATGCGTATGACGAGAATAGTCCAAAGATCGTGGAGATTGATACGTATAAAACAAGATCAAGATCTAAGCGAGGGAACATACCGCCGATGATGTCCGAATTCGGGGATGATAAAGATTTCGAGTGGAGTTTCCCGTCAGAGAAATGCAAGTTCTCTACCGCTCAGAGCACGCCTCGTTTCTCGTACCCCGGGAATAACAACAGTAACAATAACAATCACCGTTTCTATGGACCGCCGTCCCCAGCTAAGAGCTTATGTGGAGACTCGAGCTACGGAAGTTGCCTAACGCCGAGTTATATGGCGAATACGAAGTCGTTTAAGGCGAAGCTACGGTCTCATAGTGCGCCGAGGCAGCGGCCGGAGAGGAAGAGGCTGTCACTTGATGAGGTTATGGCTGCAAGAAGCAGCGTTAGCAGCGTTAGGATGGTACAACAGCAACAGCAACAGCAACAGCTGCAGCAGCAATGCTCTTCTTGCTCTTACGATTATCAGTTTCATGATGGAATGCATTTAAGGTTCTTCAATTAGGTTAAAAAAAAAACGTTTGGTCTCTTCAGGATCAAACACTACCTTTTATATGAAGAACTTTAGTTTTCTTTTTAATATTTGGGTTCTTTTTTTTTTTGTAAATTTGCTTTGGAAAGAATTGTTATATTTTTGTTTTTATGCTGTTATAAATTTATATTGTATATTTTTCTAAATTTGGAAAAACTTAGACATAATCAAATGCTCCGAATTTTCAATTGAAAGTTAAGAAAACTAAAGTCTATATAAACGTATCTATATGTTCCAACTTATTATATGGATACTCAATCTTAGAACATATTACCCCAAATTAAAATATCATGTAATCGCCTTGAACTCATTCATGTTATATATATATATATATATATATGTGTGTGTGTGTGTATACACTCAATACAAGTTCACCAAAGCGTTGCATATATGTATGTGTGCGTGTGTGTGAAAAATCTAAACCATAAATCACATAAATTTTATAGGTTTGTATAGAAATTTTCCTAAAATTAAGGAGCATTCATGAGTTTCTATATTTACATGCCGATTTTGAAAAAAAAAACAAATTGAATTCGAAGATTTAAAAGATTTATAACAAAAAAATGTTAAAATAATTCAAAGGAAATAAACATGGATGCATTCATTTTGAAAATTGAAACCCCAAGGGTCAGTCAAAGTACATGATGACGTCATCGTTATCCTGGTTTTCAAATTTCTTTCCGTAATGTTCTCGTTTCTAATCATGAAACTTGATTGGTCGAAGGGGAGTGATGTTTGCGTCATCTTATTCCCTATTCTATAATAATAATAATAATAATAAAGATTTTATTTTATAATGATAACGGCTTTTTATGACCAAAATGACATCGTAATCTCCAACAAAAAGATTCCCTCTAACCTTTTAATTGAGCGCGGGTTTAGATTAATTAATTACTCAATCATGGTTAAGTAGTGGTATTAAGCTGCTAGGTCACTAGCATTAGCCCCCCTAAACCCATGTCATAAGCCGACACGTTATACAAATGTATGTATGTATGTATGTATGTATGTATGTATGTATGTATGTATGTATGTATGTATGTATGTATGTATGTATGTATGTATGTATGTATGTATGTGAATGTTAATTATTTCTGGTCTCCAGATTTGGTACAACTCAAGACAAAATTTGAAGTAATATTGTTTAACAGAGAAGTTTTGAATTTGATCAAGCTTACGACGAATCTGTTCTTTGGATAATATTTTTTTTATTTATACTTTCAAAAACTTATTTATTGTTTTTCTTAGAATTTGATATTTGGAACGTTACAGAAAATCAAGAAAATCTTTTTTTGCCAGTCAGGAGTTTCTTAGAAAGCTGGCGGTTTTGATAATTTGGGAGTTGAAATTAACATGTATTACTTTTTTTTTTTAATATCAGAATTTATTTATTTATGAACGAGGCTAAGACACTGTTCATTAGGTACATAATTAGATCCAACACTTTCTGATTACTAATAGTACATTTCCAAATAATAATAATTATTATTGTTATTATTATTATTATACTACCCAGTCAGGCCTATATGAACAATTATTTTATGTATTATTCAAAATTTGTCAGAGGTTCATAAGCATTTTAAAGTCTTCGGCATTATCATTATGCATCTCCATCATTTGTATTTTGTGTACAGACAGAGGGGACAGAAGGGGGGAAATTCACTGTAAATCAGAAATTTAATTTCATTCTAATCAAAGAAATTAGCCCCAAAGAAAACGAAATGAAAATCATTTTTGAAAGATGCGACCAGTAACATTAATCCATAAATTATTCCGGAAAGATGTATGATTATCATATTACACCCAAAATAAAGAATGAAAATAACTTAATAATCGTAGAGAGGAAGAGCAATGGCTCTTTTCCAATAGCTTAAAGTTCAAGCTTGAAAATAAAAACTAAGGATGGGTGTTTCGAATCCAAAAATACGGTATTTTTTGTGAAGTTTTTTTTTTTTTATAAAATCTAATTTTTCAAAATCGACGAAACCGAATTTTTAAAAAACCCAAAAAACCAAAAATTTCTTAAAAAAATCTTTTTTTTTATAATAAAAACTAGAATCAAAACTGACATATTTTTATAAAACTGAAAGAATCGGACTAAACCATATTTCCGACCCAAACCGCGAAAGTCACACCCCTAATAAAAACTATGAAATATAACCCCAAATTCTAAACACTAAACTCCCACATGAGAATCAATCAAACCAACAAATTTTGCATCATATCCAAAGCCTAATTACCAAATCAGACTGATCACACAGGAAAAAATAATTTTCGAAACTCGAAATCTGCAGCTTCCTTCCTTCAGCCACCACAAAGACTGAACCTTCTGCTGATCTTGAACCCGGAATCCGCAGTTTCTTTCCTTCAGACACCGAAAATCTTGATCTTTCATCCATGGCTACAATGGACTAACCACCCAACCCGTGATCGGATTCTTCCTACGAATCCGTGATCTCTTATGAGATCCACTCTGCAACCGATCAAGCACAGAATAGGTTATAGAATCCGGGGTTAGTCCTTGCTGTTTCATTTTCGCGTACAGATCCACAGCTTCTGCAGTTCTCCCGCTCTTTTCGAGACAATCGAGCAAAATATTGTAAGTCACAGTGTTAGGTTGACACCCTTTTGCCAGCATCTCTTCAAACAATATATAAGCCATCTCAACTCTATCGGTTTTCCCGAAGCATTCGATCAAAGTGCTGTATGTGACTACATCCGGGTCAAACCCTTTCTCTTGCATCTCTTTGAATCTCACATGGGCTTCATCCACATCACCGTTCTTCCCCAAACAATTGATCAAAGAGTTGTAAGATACAATGTCGGGCTTACAGTCACTGTTCTCGAGCTCCTCGAAAACTTTGATAGCTTCAATAACTTCTCCAACCCTCCCAAAGCTCGAGATGAGTATATTGTAGGTGAATATGTCAGGAGAGGGGCCATCCTTTTTCATCTTTTCGTAAAGACCTTGAAGATGGGATATCTGCTTTAGCTTGCTAAGAGTCGAGAACACTGTGTTGTACATCATAGTATCGGTTTTTACACCTTTCTCGTGAATCTTGCCCAACAACTCGATGGCTTCCACAGTTTTACCGGCACTGCATAAACTTTCTAGCATCGACATGTAAGAATCCCTATCCCCTTTGACAGGGAAGTTCCACATGTCACAAAATAACCGGTGGGCTTCACCTACATGCCCTAATTTGCTCAGGGTTCTGACCAGGTATGCATATATGCCCTGTGTCATGAACTTTTTTGACATCTCCACGACTTCATCTAACTTGACCAGCTGACCTGTCGCCACTAAAAGGTTCAAAATGATAGTGTAAGTGAACTCATTGGGTCTGCAACCTGTCTCGACCATTTTAGAGAAGACATGGAGAGCTTTGTCAACCATCTTGCCCTTGACAAGAGCATGTATTAGAGTATTAAAACTAATTAAATTAGGAGTAAAGCCCTTGGATATCATTTCATTGAAAAGAGCAAACGATTGATCATACTTCCCAGTGCTCCCCATCATCCTGATCATAATCGTGTATGAGTACTCATCTCGGCAAAGTCTTTTCTTCATATCTTCAAAAACTTGGCAAGCCTGGTCAACCTGCCAAAAGGCTGCACATCAGACAATCAGGATACATGAACTCAACTGATGATGAGAGTTAGCAAGCTATAATAAACAACCTTAAACGCAAAGAATGATCTCTGTCAATACCATTGATGACTTGACGTGATCAACGTGTTTACTAAACCACAGTTCATAAGGCCCCGAACAACCAAAGAATATACTGGTGCCCGTATATGTATGCACACACACATGTACACGAACATATATACACACACACTTTAACACTCAAGTTATTATTATTTTATTTTTTAAAATTCAATCATACCATTTGTCATATCCTGCCTAACTCTCAGATCTATGTTATGACCAAACCAAGTTAGCCAATAAAACCAAAAGCAAAAACTTCATGGGTAGCAGCAGCAAAGAGTAACAACATCAACTTTTTCTCCCACCCTTCACAAAATATTAACAAAATGAAACACATACGAGGACCATTCGCATCGTGGTTAAACAAAAGATTTTCTGCCAGAAAATTATACAAGCTCAAGTCTGGCCGAAGACAGATGAAACAGGACAAGTATAGGATCTTTGCAAAGGAACTACAGGCAGGTAAATTAGGCAAATAACCCTGCAGGATTCAAAACTTCAACCTTTTTAACAGAAGCTTTCTCGAAACTCCACACAACATCTGAGATATTACATCCTATAAAACTATCCATCTCACACTTACAATATGAGTTGCTAACTTGCAACTGTGTCATACTCTTCCGGTGGGCATATATCAATATGAACACTACGGGAACAGCCATAGTATCAACATTTTCAATTGCCGCAGTAGCAAGACAATGAAAAAGCAAACTAATTCATTGGCACAAACATTTCATCCGAGAAACCAAAGTTATGCCAGCAATCGGACACATTTCAGCTTGAACTACAAATTCCAACTACAAAGTAGAGTCAGCGCATCCTGCACCGATAGACGTCTATCTATCATTATGAACTCGAATCAAACAACGAAGCTATTCTCCATTACGAACATACCCAGATTATCACCAGTCACCACACTCGATTGCTACAGTACCGATACAACGAGAAATAAGCAAAACCCACACAAATTTATGCTAAAAGAACGTACCTTTTCATCTTTAACTAAAGAATCCAACACCATGTTATAAGCGAAGACGTCGAGTTTATGCCCTTTCCTTCTGATCTCCGTATACACATCGAACGCTTTTCCTGAATCTCGAGACCGTATGTACGCCTGAAGAAGACATTTGTAAGTGTATGAATTCATCTTCAAGCTCCATTTCTTCACCAAACCCAAGCACATGGCCAAGTCTTCCGTGTTCCCGAAGAACCCAATCAGAATATTGACGATGGAGATCGTCCCGCGCACGCCGTTCTTCTCCATCTGGTCGATGATCGAACGGACGAGATCGAACTTGTCCGGAAGAGTGGACTGGGAGAGGATGAGAATGATGCGAGTATAAAGGAAGGGGTCGTTGTGAGAATTAGGGGAAACATCGGGGCAAAAGTGAAAGAAATCGAGGGCGAGACGCGGGCAATTTAGGGATTTGAGGATCTCGGAGACTTCGGCGGAGGTGAGGGAGAGGGAAACGGAGGAGAGGTAGTCGGAGAGGTCGGAGAAGCTGTCGAATCCGGCGGCGTCAGCGGAGGCGGAGCGGCTGCGGAGGAGGAGGAGGTTGGTGGCGCGGCAGATGAGGTGGCGGCGGGGTATTGGGTAGCCTCGGACGTCGGTGGGGAGGGGCTTCGCGAGAGAGACCTCCGCGGAGAGGGAGCGGCCGGAGGGAGACGATGACGTCACTTTTGCGACGTACTTCGTGGCGAAGCCCCGGCGGTTCCTACCGGCGGCAGAGGCGCTCAGAAGGTGGCGGCGGAGCCTCATGGTTCGCCTGGAAAGCGAGTGTCGACGAGTCGATTGATAGCTTTAGCCTGTCTGATAGTTTTCACACCGATATATTTACATTATATATTTTCCAAGTCCACTTTAAATTAAATTAAATATAAACCAAAATTTTACAGATTGCCCTCCACAATCTTATTCAAATATTTATAAAAGCTTTTCCTCAAAACAAATTATACATGGTGAATTTTTACGGTTCTATTTATTTATTTTTAATTATCATAATTAAAAATAAATTTCAATCTTTTCATTATTCTTTATTTCTATATAATCTCCCTCGTCAATTCACATTTCACATAATCGTGTATTATCCGAGGAGACTAAAAAAAAAGCTTTTCTTTTTCATTTTACAAAAGTCCAAACTACTGTTGATGAAAAAAAAACAAAAAAAACAAAACAAAGAATCTGTCCGTTTTCTGCTTCAAGAGAATATTCTGCTTACGGAATCATAGCTCGGGACATTCATCACTGCAAACCAAAATCAAAACGCAAAAATTGATCTCTTTTTCAACAGATGAAGAAATTATAAGAAGGGTATCTAAGGGATGAGTGAAGTGAATGTTTACCATCTCCATAAGATGCCATCGTCAAAGGCTTTGTGATGATCTTGCCGGTGAACTCTGCAATGTCCTTCAGAGTGAGTTGGTCCACCATCTTCAAGAACCGGTCCACGGGTTTCCTGTCAGATCGACGAAAAACTCGATGGATCGGTCGACTAATCTTAAGCCTGAATTATCCTTCGAGAGATTTCGGAAATGATGATAAGAGGGTTTGTCAGTTTCGAAGAAATTTGCATATACCTCTCCCCATATGTGAGTATCTGCCTGCCTATGTCTTCTGCGGTAATCATCTGCCCGGAAAACGGAAATTTAGTCAATACCCGGTAACCCGATTTTCGAAAGGTTCATAATTTAAGCAGACGGGCGAAAGCTATAGGTACCTGAGATTCGAGATTCATGAGAATGGTAGATTTCGTGGCTGCCTTGGCACGATCAAGATGCTTTTGGTTAACTGCAAGGAGATAAACAGACAAGGAATGCGTATTTTTACATTGGATGAAAACTGTTTGCCTAGCCTAGATTTGAAGAGTTGAACGATTGAAATAAAATAAAGAAATTGCAAACCTTTCCCTCCCGCTACATCTTTCAATTCCTTAGCTGCTACTTCAACAGTTTTTGCGGCAAACTCGGGACTCTGATAACCAAGAATTTGAACACTACTTTGAGCAAAACCTATTAAACCAGCAAACCATTTGATTTGGGCATTTAACCAACAACATGATATTTGCATCATCCACCAGAGAAATCTTAGTTAATCCATGAACGGGAATATCATAGTAAACAACATAAGCATTGCAAATTTGACACAATGGGCAGAGCAGATAAATGATAATGATTAGACCGGCGATAGGTGAACTCACTGAGCAACCATAGATGCCAAACAATCCGGTGTTGTTAAAGATGCTAGTGAATGCAGTGCATGATTGAACCTGCTGATATTCGTTCAAGACACGGAGATCTGTATCAATGAAGAGGAAACAGAGTCCTTATTACCAAATGCTTAACAGATTTTGAGGATTACCAATGAGTAAAAGGGATGGATGCAGAAAGAACATATAGATGGAAAGGGAAAACAATGGAGACCGTTGAACGAACTTACAGAGCCACGAGTGCATTCCTTTACCAGGTCCTCCGGCAGAGAATGAGCCACCGCCTCCCATCAGCATCTAATAGGAATTTAGATTTAAGCCAGTGAATCTTATGTCTGGAATAGCTACTGAACTGAATGACATGCAAAAATAAATTGATTGAAACGTGTGAAAGTTACAAGGCAGGTAAAAGGACACTTTCTTTTTTAATTAAGCACCTGAAGAACAGTCGCGGTCATAGCTTCCTTCTCGCTGTACCAGCCGGGCACTTCAAAAGCAAGGGCAAAATGTGTGGCCTGAGAATAGCAAAACAAAAAACCAAATTGTATTTTGACAAAAATAAAACTTTGAACCCAAACTGATTCATGATGACAGGAAGTGTAATCAGGAATACCCCTCCACCAGTATGTTGACGATAATCTCCACCAACATATTGAGATTTTGGCTCCTGTGGGCGGGCTACTTTAGGAAGGTCGGAAAGCAATGGCTCAGCTACTCGCAAAAGTTCCTCATGATCAACTCCACTTGCTGCCAGTACCATTCGTGCAGCAGTGAAATTCTCCTGGAATTCTCAGACCAAATCAAAAAGGGGAGCACGATAAACTAATCAAAGCAAATAATCCCTAATCACAAAGAATAAATAAATCGCAAAGTTTCATGTGCATATGGTTTTTAAAAACTATTGCAATCTTACAGCAACAAAGTCCTCCAAGACATCCCCAGTTAGTCTGTCCAATGCAGACTCAGGTGCGTAAAGTGGATTTGCCAATGCACCGGCATAACCAGCAGAATGAACTGCCTCCGTGAGAAAGCCCATAGGGTTCTTGGAAAGTTCCCCAATCTCCAATTTCACCTTTCGAAGCTGCAAAAAAAGTGTATAGAAGGATAAGCCCCAAATCGCTTCTCTTCGATTTGTGTGAATACCAGAATTACAAAATAGCACACAAGAAAAAGAGATTACCTCCTCATTCACTTCCCAATCCAAGAAAGCAGGGTTCCTCACACTGTCAATAAGCACTTCCACCATTTCAGGAACATATGTTTTTAAAGCATCAATAGTAAATCCCATCTGCTCCCGAGATGCAGAAGCACAAGTGTGGCCTCCAATAGCCTCTACCTCCCTTACGAGACGCAGATGGCTTCTGTTCAACGTGCTCTTGAAAGCCATCCTTTCAAGTAAGTGTGTGGCTCCATGGGAATAAGGTGTCTCATAAATAGAACCACAATCAACGTATAAACCAATAAAGGCTGCCGGATTCTGACAAAAACACAGACCCAAAACACTCAATGCTTTGCACTCTAATCTTTTCATAGAGAAATCAAGATACCAGAAACTCACGGGTGATGCCTCCGAGGCTAGTTTAAGCCCGTTTGGAAGAGTAGTGACTTTAATTTTGCTCGGCTCGACATGGTCGGCAAGAGGTGGTGGAATGGAGACACCCTTCAGCGGCATGTTGATAGAATAGTGTAAGGATAATACTGATTTGTATTAAGGAAAGCAAAAGAAACAAACCCGGATTAGAGAGGAACACCACTCTCTTCTCCCCACCAAGGTCTAGAGAGGAACACCACTCTCTATTAACCTCCCCAATCACAGTATTCTTAAGATTTCAGATACCCTTACCACAAGCAAAGGAGATAGTTATATAGCCATCTCAGTAACACGCTAAGGAGATGACCTACAAACCTATATAAGTAGCCATATATATCTATAGCCTATAGGTAATTAATAACCACCAGCAGCCGTACTACACGCCCATGTTTTGTTGCTTCCATATTCTCTACAACACGTCCCTCTCTTCAGCATCCTTTCCAAGTTTTCTCTCTCCCGATTAATATCTTCCCCTTCTGCCCTTCTCTTCCTCAATGTTTTCCTCACCAACAGTCGAAATGGCTTATCACATGTCCATTGAAGGAAGCGAGCGAGATGTTTCGCCAGTCAACCAGCTGAAAAAGCCCCCTGAAGAAGAACTCGTAGCTACGGCACTCGAACTTGCATAACGTGCTGCTCGCAAATTGCGGTGTAAACAACCCTATAAAACATGAAATCCAGCCACCATAACAGAACTGAAGGGTTTTTGTCTCACTCAAAGGCAAGCCAGCTAGACAATAGAATTAACGAACCGGCATCGAAGCCGTGATCACTGACTGAAACCCCCAAAAAAAAATGACAAACTTGAAACTAAAACGCAATTGATTCAGTATAGCCATTTTCCTTAATCGGCATGGGCAATGAACCGTTTTCATCCCCGATTCAACCAAAAAGTAGAAATGCGGGAAAGTGAAGCATGATCCGAAAAATCTAAATCCATGGATTCATAAGCAAAGATTACAAAACAATACCTTTAGAACAGAAATCATTTCAAACCCCAAAAACACGAATAAACAGTGCAATAACAAGCTAGCAGACAAAATCGTTCTACCCCGACAAATAAGAACAGAAAATCAAATCCGATACAAGTAGACACTGACCTTGAGAACCCTGGATCGTAAAGCTGCCGTGCGGTACATGGCGACAACAGCGAAATCCTAGACCGGAGGTGTGATGAAGGATTGATTTTGGAGGGGACAACGGAGAGAGGCTGAGGCTGCTGAAGAAGAGACCTTTGCCTTTTCGGCTTTTTGTTTTCTTTGCTCTGTTTATTATCCAATGGGCCAGTATCGTATAATGAGCCGGGATCATGTATGGGCCTGGCCCATTTCAAACATTCATAAAAAGAAAAAGATGAAAAGCCCATGGATTATTTTAAGCAAAAAGTTTTGCGATAAATTCATGAAATATCAACCTCCAATACGCAAACTCCAAAAAAACTATACGTTAAATAATAAAGGACTAATCACATAAAAATACCCGAACTTTTACAAAAATCCCAAATAAATATCCGAACTATAAAATTATCATATAAATATCTGAACTTTTCAAAACTCTCACATAAATACCCAGACTTTTAAATTTTTTTCAAATCAAACAAACGCAACTGCTGACTCAGCACAAAAAACTGTTGACTCAGCAAAAAATTGATGACTCATCATTCAAAATATTACTAAATATCCAAACATTCATCTACATATATTTAAATTAATATATGCATATAAATTCATATATATATATATATATACAAATATATATATAAATATATATATATATATATATTAAAATAAAATTATTTATAATTAATAAAACACATATACACATAACTACAATATAAAGTTGAGTGCCAATTCAGTGATTTCTCCTACAATTATTGGAGCCTCCTCAGGTGGAGCGTGTAGCTTGACATCCTCAGAAAAGATTTCCACCTGCAACTCACAGTGTTTGCATCGATGGTCGACGAAAAATGTCACATCGCACCTGAAAAACATGCTGCGCTTGTGCTCGTCTTTCTTCTCCAAATCGGTCAGTTGGTGAAAAGAAGACCATCTGTCTATCCCACTTTGCTCCTGCGAACTCGGCTTCGCGATGCTCCCTTGTGCATGGCTCGGTGTATTGCGAGCGTCCTTTGATCGGGGTTTTGGAGACCACTGCGACGCCACCATTGGTATGGTAACCGTGCGAATGGGTTGGCTTGAATACTCCTGACGCGATCGACAGAACTTGCTCTCCTCCCATCTCCAGGTGGGTACATCAGACTGTCGTCTAGTCTCATCGCCAGAGCAATGAAATTTTTTAGACCTTGAGACCGCATCACGTCGATTACATCCCGAAATTCCTGAGTGTAGATCCCCAAATCGCTCAAAAACTCGTATTCTAAAATCATCCCAGACTCGCAAAGGAAGACGACTTTGCCAGTTGTACCCCATTAGAGCCCTGTCATCCATACTCATGGATGCCAGACGCCACTTTTCATTGTTGGTACTACCACCCAACTGGAAATACAGTTCTGCTCTGGCCAGCCCATCTGAGACGCCAAAACCATTAAACCTCGATATCGCTACCTTTTTCAGGTGTGTGTCGTCGTTATAGAAAAACTTGTCCGGTGGAATGTTCTTCTCGGTTTCTATCAATAACGAAGCATGTACATGTACCTCGCTAGACGATTTCTGCCGAACAAACGAATCTGGAAGTAGATTTTCCACATCCCCTTTATCGTCACCTTCAACCAACAGCACCTGAAGTTCCGGCTTCCTGTGGCGTTTACCCGAAAAATATTTGTCTGTACATTGAAAGCATACTCCCCTTTTTCTCTGATCCTTCGTTTTCGAATCTGATATCCGGCAAAGCCCCAGCTTTTGTGTTGGTAAACTAGCATCACAACTTGCAGATTGGGACACTCTTGATGGGGAAGAACATGGATCCGTATGACGGTGACGATAACCTATTCGCTGCGAACAGGTGAAACTCCCTTTAGGCAAAGTCTCTCTACGGAAGAGATTTGGTGAAGAAGATGGATGAGCAAATTGGGCCTGTCTAGGTTTGGGCCCCATGGGTACCACACCGAAGGAGCTGTGCTCCAAACACAATGCCAGAGCAATTGTGCTCTCCTTTTTCAGCCCCACTACCAAATCCGGAAACAAAATTTCCAATTCCTGCATCTCTCCATTATCAAAATATGCAATTAGGTTTTCGGTAAACGGGTTACCGTCTTGTTTGCGCTTCTTCCTCTGAGTACCACCTGGGTCATCTAAATCATAGTCGCAGCCACCAACATCGCCAGAATCATTGTCCATCGTTGCCATCTCTATAACGACATCTTGGTTTCGAGATGTTCGGCGACCTTTTCTATCGACTTCAAATGTCGGCTCCTCATTCTGTTGATGCCAAGGATAACGACAGAACGAACGCTTCCATCGATTCTCCTCCAGCAACGCGTCGATGTGTCGACCAAACGTCATTAGTGCCCCCTTGTCCACAACGTCTGCTTTGTTTGTCACCGAAGCCTTCATCTCTTGCAGCGATTGCTTGACCGTCACCTCGGTCGCTGATATCGGCTCGCCACTACGAACCTGTTGCCGATCTCGCACCTCATCAAGGTCATGCACCATCAGAAACTGCTCCATCGGAAACGATGACTCGAGATCTTGATCCGGTTGCAAATCTGCCAGCGGTTCGGCATGATCATCAACCATCGGTGATAAGCTTGAGATTATCTCTACACCATCGATCTGCATCGCTGAATCAGATGTCAGAGTCTCTTCCTCTGCTTTGTGCTTCACCAAAGTCGCTTCGGACTCCACCGAAACCGTGGGCTCGCCTGCGTCGCTTGGTGACTGTTCCACCGAAACCTCGATACCCCACCTCGCACACAATCTATAAAGCATTTTCTCCGCTCTGCAGAAGGACTCATGAATATCTGACATTGACGTTACTGGATCCATTTGCTCTGATACCAAGAATAGTGTAAGGATAATACTGATTTGTATTAAGGAAAGCAAAAGAAACAAACCCGGATTAGAGAGGAACACCACTCTCTTCTCCCCACCAAGGTCTAGAGAGGAACACCACTCTCTATTAACCTCCCCAATCACAGTATTCTTAAGATTTCAGATACCCTTACCACAAGCAAAGGAGATAGTTATATAGCCATCTCAGTAACACGCTAAGGAGATGACCTACAAACCTATATAAGTAGCCATATATATCTATAGCCTATAGGTAATTAATAACCACCAGCAGCCGTACTACACGCCCATGTTTTGTTGCTTCCATATTCTCTACAACACGTCCCTCTCTTCAGCATCCTTTCCAAGTTTTCTCTCTCCCGATTAATATCTTCCCCTTCTGCCCTTCTCTTCCTCAATGTTTTCCTCACCAACAGTCGAAATGGCTTATCACATGTCCATTGAAGGAAGCGAGCGAGATGTTTCGCCAGTCAACCAGCTGAAAAAGCCCCCTGAAGAAGAACTCGTAGCTACGGCACTCGAACTTGCATAACGTGCTGCTCGCAAATTGCGGTGTAAACAACCCTATAAAACATGAAATCCAGCCACCATAACAGAACTGAAGGGTTTTTGTCTCACTCAAAGGCAAGCCAGCTAGACAATAGAATTAACGAACCGGCATCGAAGCCGTGATCACTGACTGAAACCCCCAAAAAAAAATGACAAACTTGAAACTAAAACGCAATTGATTCAGTATAGCCATTTTCCTTAATCGGCATGGGCAATGAACCGTTTTCATCCCCGATTCAACCAAAAAGTAGAAATGCGGGAAAGTGAAGCATGATCCGAAAAATCTAAATCCATGGATTCATAAGCAAAGATTACAAAACAATACCTTTAGAACAGAAATCATTTCAAACCCCAAAAACACGAATAAACAGTGCAATAACAAGCTAGCAGACAAAATCGTTCTACCCCGACAAATAAGAACAGAAAATCAAATCCGATACAAGTAGACACTGACCTTGAGAACCCTGGATCGTAAAGCTGCCGTGCGGTACATGGCGACAACAGCGAAATCCTAGACCGGAGGTGTGATGAAGGATTGATTTTGGAGGGGACAACGGAGAGAGGCTGAGGCTGCTGAAGAAGAGACCTTTGCCTTTTCGGCTTTTTGTTTTCTTTGCTCTGTTTATTATCCAATGGGCCAGTATCGTATAATGAGCCGGGATCATGTATGGGCCTGGCCCATTTCAAACATTCATAAAAAGAAAAAGATGAAAAGCCCATGGATTATTTTAAGCAAAAAGTTTTGCGATAAATTCATGAAATATCAACCTCCAATACGCAAACTCCAAAAAAACTATACGTTAAATAATAAAGGACTAATCACATAAAAATACCCGAACTTTTACAAAAATCCCAAATAAATATCCGAACTATAAAATTATCATATAAATATCTGAACTTTTCAAAACTCTCACATAAATACCCAGACTTTTAAATTTTTTTCAAATCAAACAAACGCAACTGCTGACTCAGCACAAAAAACTGTTGACTCAGCAAAAAATTGATGACTCATCATTCAAAATATTACTAAATATCCAAACATTCATCTACATATATTTAAATTAATATATGCATATAAATTCATATATATATATATATATACAAATATATATATAAATATATATATATATATATATTAAAATAAAATTATTTATAATTAATAAAACACATATACACATAACTACAATATATATATATATATATATCATTACTAATGCATATATATTACAATAAAAATAATTATAATTAAATTTATTATTAAAAATAATAATAATGTATAACAATAATTATAATTAAATATATATATTATGTATATATATTACTAAAAATAAAAATAATAATAATGCATTATTATAATATATATACATAATATATATATTTAATTATAATTATTTTTATGCATTATTATTATTTTTAATAATAAATTTAATTATAATTATTTTTATTGTAATATATATGCATTAATAATGATATATATATATATATTATAGTTATATGTATATGTGTTTTATTAATTATAAATAATTTTATTTTTAATATATATATATATATTTGTATATATATATGTGAATTTATATGTATATATTAATTTAAATATATGTAGATGAATATTTAGATATTTAATAATATTTTTGAAAGCTGAGTGAGCAGTTTTTTGCTGAGTCAGCAGTTTTTTTGCTGAGTCAGCAGTCGCGTTTGTTTGATTTGGAAAAAATTTAAAAATTTGGGTATTTATGTGTGAGTTTTGAAAAGTTCAGGCATTTATATGATAATTTTATAGTTCGGGTATTTATTTGGGATTTTTGTAAAAGTTCCGGTATTTTTATGCGATTATCCCAATAATAAATAATTGTGTAGTTTTGTAGTCTTTATAAAATTAATTATATGATTTTAAGTTCGTGTATTTTTCAAAAATTTTAAAATTGATAAGCTAGCTTAAGAATTGAGAATTAATAATAAAATAACTTGTATTTGTTTTCATGAAAACGGAAATAATTGAAGTGTTACTCATCACCTCACCTCACATCACAATTTAAATCTATTCCTAAAATCCACCAAACAAGTAACAACAACAACTACTACTACTACTACTACTAATAATAATAATAATAATAATAATAATAATAATAATAATAATAATAATAATAAAGTTTGCAAGAGAATTAATTGTCTTAAATTAATAATTTGACTATTCACATGTTTACATAAATAATAAAATTACGTCACAATATCCAATTAATTGTCTTAAATTATTTTTATATAATAGATTTAATATGTTGTGACTTTGAGTTTTGAATAATAGATAGAAAAACCAATAAAACAAAACTACAACATAATTATGAATTTATTGATTGCATTCCAAGAATAAATGTGAATTTAGTGTAGTTGAGTTTCCGAATCCTATGCATATCCATTGAATGCATTCCATATGTTAATTCAATCCAACTTTATAAGAAATTCAAGAATAAGTGTGAAAACAAACGCTATTACCCAGGAATTTAGATTCGTTCTTCTCTTTTGTTCACACATACACACAATAAAACAAAACTACACCATAACTGCGAATTTAAAACCCAAGATTGAGTGGTTTAAATAATTATTAAAAGAGTTCCCTCCCAACTTATGTTTGAATCTCTATTTAGAGAGAACATTCACGTGTGTTTTCCCGATTATCTTAGAGATTTCGTTAGGTCAAAGTCATGGACGGACTATATTGATATGTGTGGAGTGGGGCATATGTCCCCATTGGTGAGATTAAAATTTTATTATTTCTTCATAAATTTCATCATATTTTAATCAAAGTTTATAAATGCCCCCATAAAAAATTGTGTTTAACACATGTAAAATTAATTTTGTCCCCCAGTTAAAAGTTTTGCTAGGTAATTTTGCCCCCAATTATAAGATTTGTCTATGTCCGCTGCTGCTGGTCAAAGGTCCATTCAATTTTCGAATTATCAAAAAAATATATATATAAATTTAGAAACACTCGTTGAGATATGAATCTGCTTCTCGATTTATTCAACAAAACTGCACTTGCGCAGAATCACAAATGTTTGAAATGGGTCTTCTGCAGTCTTGGACAAGTATGCTAAAAGTCTCTCGTTGAAACCGACGCTCTCAAAGTCTCTTGGTGTATCAGCGGATTCCACTTGATGAAACGCTGGCAGCAGATTAGTCCTCAGGTCGTTACGGTTTTTGTCACGAGGATTGAGGGGTATTTTGGTCATTTACCTAGGGATCGGTTTGTTATAAAACCGGATGGATATCGTGAAGATAACCGGATTCAATTTCCGCCGCTGGAGCTCGAGTTTGAGCATGTAACATTGAGATAGGATTCAGAAGATCGGCCTGAAACGTACGGATCCTCACATTGAGACCGGGAACTCGTAATTCTCCATGCCATTTTCTTGCTTTGGTTCATAACTGGTTTAAGTGCAGAATTCACCAGATTTCGGTTTATGCCATAACAATAAACACAGCAGAACCAAAGCAAGGGACACAAAACTTATTCAAACATGAACAACAAGACACAAACTTATTCAAACATTGAACGACATAACCAAACTTATTCAAACATGAAACAACAAAGCGACAGAACCAAGATATTCGATTGAACTGCTCTGAGGTTATTTGGCAGGAGTCAATGGAGTGGTCGCCAGTGCAAAATACGCTCCGAGAGAGTGAACAACATCTCCGACGCTTCCGTGGAACCCCACGAGCCTTCCGCCTTTGCCATCGAGTTCGAACTTTGTACCAGCAGCAACTCCGAACTGGTCAGAGGTTCTTCCTTGAGATGTCTTGAAGATAAGAGCCGTGATAACCTCGACCGGATATCCATAGATTTTGTCATGGTATCCCTCTATCGATGTGATATATTCGCCTGGCTTAAGCTCAAACTGCATAACATTTTCGACCACGAAAAGACGGGTCATTACCGATTCAAGAAATCTGATCAAAACTGAAACGGTCACGGCAATAGATGAATACCATTTCGGCCCCGAGCAGCGACTTCTTCCCGTGGTCACGTGTTTCCAATTTTCCGCCCTTCTCGTACTCGAACTTGACGTAGGACACGCTAGATTCGCCTTGCCCGACATACACTTTCGTTACACTATCGTAAGCTCCATCGTCAAATGCAGTGTTTCCTTTGCCACCTTGTGCTTCCAGTTTATTGACAGGTGTGGAGGGAGCTGCTACAAAGTAAGCTCCGAGTGAATTGAGATATTTATCAGAAAATCCATGGAATCCGACAATCTTCTTGCCCTTGACCTCGAGCGTGAACTCAGTTCCCTCTCCGTATCCGAAGACATTAGACTCTTTCTTGTCGGTCTTGAATCGAAAACCCTGAATGACGCCATCCTCGTGGTAACCCACGACTGATACGAGATGTTCATTCGGATGGTCGATCTCAAACTATGGATGTTTAAAACGAAAAAAGAGATTAGAGCAACGATAATCATTGAAGAAGTATGAAAGTGTAATGTTAAAAAGTATATACCGGCGGTTCTGGTGTAGATGCTCCGTCAGTGCTGCCATGGAGCGGTGAATCTTTCAGCTGTCCGTCCTTATCGTAATCGAATTTGACGTAATAGACACCTCTCCGACCAACCCCGACGGCGATCTTCCTCACGCCGTCGTGGTCTGCTCCGTCGTCCCATTCGTTGCCTCCTTTCCCTCCTTGTGCTTCCACCTTCTCCGGACCAGAACTTCCACCGGACCCACCGGACCCACCGGATCCAGATCCACCGGAGCCACCAGTGCCGCCGGAGCCAGACCCACCGGAGCCACCAGTGCCGCCGGATCCTTCAGATCCACCTGATCCGGAGCCACCGCCCGTGCCGCCGGAGCCACTACCGGATCCGCCGGAGGAGACAATGGGTCCGAAGTGACCGTCGATGGAGTTGAGGACATCGCCGCTAGTTCCATTGAAACCGACAATCTGCGTGCCGCTGGGTGAGTTAATGGAAAACTGGTTCCTGGTTTTGTTTCCATACGGACCTAGTGTTCTTTGGTTCGTCTTGAACGTTAACGCCGTTATAACTTCTTCCCCGTTCTGTCTGGTCGTGTAATAACCGGTCAACTCCGTTATGTACTCGTCCGGTTTCAACGTGAACTGCAAAATCCCCCCATTTCAAACAAAAAAAATTAATATCATGTTGGACAAGTAGAATAGCTTTCGCTACTAATCAACTAACCCCATCGGATTTGCCTCCGACACTGCCCCGTCTCTGTGACTTGACGGCGTTACCGTTGCTGTCGTATTCAAACTCGACGGACTTGATGACGTCATCATACGTAATCTGCGCTTGCTTCACCTTCGTGTGTTTTCCGTCATCCCAAGACATCTTTTTACCGCAGTGGATGTATATTTACCCTATATAATGACAAATTTTATTGTTTTTTATTACACCTTTCTTTTTTTCCTTCTTTCTTTTTTTTTTATTATAATTTGAGATTAAATATAATATGCATGTATTTATACGAATTTCCTCCGAAATAATATTGTTTCACTGATTTTGGTTTACCTTGATTGGGCCAAGATAAAGGCAAACACTCCACAAGCGAAGAAAATATTATTCTCTTTTAAAAAAAATACACTATGTGATCCAAATATTTGACATTTTGGATAAATATTTTTAGATTTAGAATTTTTTTTTAATAAAGATTATAATAATGATTTTTAAAAAAAAATACTGTTTCTATTAGAGAAAAATGCTTAAAAAACCATAAGATTTTTTTCTTCTAAAATAGAAAAATAGTAATTAGATTGAAATAAATTTAAACAAAACTTGATATCTGTTTAGTGGATTACACATATACCTATTAAAAGGAGAAGAAAAAAACAAAGCGCGTATATATATATATAATATGTGTGTGTATAGAGAGAGAGAGAGATTACCTTAGTTAGGCCTTGGGAAGGAGAGAGGTGGAGCGGTGAGCAATGATACTATAATTCAATGATATATATATATATAGGCCTTCTTGGGCTTCAAATCATTATTGACATCATCATCATTTTTATTCAATTATTCGTGCACCACATGGCACATATATTATTCTTATAATAATAAATATTATTTTTTTCTGTCAATTATTTATACAAGTTTCCCTTATTATTCAATTTTAAACCTAACATTATCATAAATGAACGTGATTTCCTAAGATCTCTCCGCCATTGACCTCTTTTAAATTAAGTTTCCCGAATCATATTTTATTTTTCCACCACCAAGATCATCATTAATGTATTAATAGTTTTAGAAGCTTCCCTCAAATTGATTATTAGGTTGTTACCAGCGCAGTTGCCTTTTCTTGTGCATACTCGTACTTATTGCAAAAAATTTATTTGATGATAAGTAAATTTTCGTATGATTGTTTCATTTTTTATGGGCTTAATATATGTATATATATATATATATGTGTGTGTGTGTGTGAATTGAAGTTTTTTTTTATAGTTTATTTCATTGTTGGTACTGACGAAACATGTGGGTTTTGGTCATATTTTACAAGATTCGAAGTGATTTTGTAGAAATTTTCAATCATGAAATAGATATATATTTAAATAAAAAAAATGGTTTACTTTTAGCAAAAAGAAAAAGGTCTAGAAAAAAGAAAAAGAAGAAAGATAGAGATAGTAATTATTTGATATATGCATCGGTCCAAACGACGTGATCCAATAGATATTAATAATCAATGAAGTGGCATCTCGTGGATCTCGTTATCTTATAATTTATAATTTCTCAAATTTTGTCGTAGCCTACGACGAGTTCTTCATTTCTATGAGCTCACTATGAGAACAAAAAAAAAAAAAAAAACACGATCCTGTTTTTTTTTAAGAAAAAAATATTGGAAATGTAATTTTTTTTTTAAACCCAATTTGTTGGTCGCACGTTAACACTTTTATTTAATCCGTTTTTTTATATTTGATAGGAAATTAAACTCTCAAAATTATTTTAAATGTGTTTTCTTTTTTTTTTATTATTTTCCAGCTGGGATGGGTTATATTATATCGACCCGCAGAGAAAAACAGGTAGCCCATATGGGCCTTATACAAACAACACTTGGGCCCAAAAGAAACAACTCCTAAACTGGACATCTGGGCCTCAACGACGACGATCATATTCCTGACGACTGCAAAATGACGTTTATACCCCCGAGTACCCGAGTGTTTTTGAGGTTGATAACATGATACAAAACAATTCGAATCAACAAAAATTTCTTCTGTCTTTTTGGGTTTGGTTTTCAGCCGTAGCTTACGAAAAATGGATTTCGCGGGTTTCGACATCCATAAGAGACCGTCAGTTGTGGATGCCCGAGTCACCGAGGCCAAAACACTTCAACCATAAACCCGTGGGAACGAGGCCTAGAATGAATACTCTAGAAAACTCGGATATACAATTATTGAGAAATATGAAGAGTTGTAAAGATTTTATTGATTATGGAATTCTATTCCTAATAGGATTCGAATCCATGCCAACCCTGTAAATTTTATCTCGGATCAATGAAATAAGCGATCACGGGGGTTTGGATTTCGTAACGGAATGTTGATGTTAACGGAGAATTCGTCGGAATCGGAGTATTGTGGGATCCATGCTGAACACATTAGAATAAGACTGAAGAGAGGGGAGTGTGTATGGTGAGAGTAGAACACATTGAGCTGAGCTCCTTTTTATTGGAAATGGACGAACATCACATGACCACGACATCACGAAGAAAAAACACTTGAAAAAAGACATTGTTACAGAGCAGGAAGAACACAACCACTTTATCAAACTCTGACCAATCCATTTTTGTTTTGTTTTTTTTTTTTTTTGAAAATGGAAGAGGGTTTCTCCTCACTTATGAGATTGGAGCGACATGGACTCCGACCTGATGGATCACATCGCCAGCTTTTCCATGGAACCCTACGATTTTGTTGTCTTTCTCCTCGAACACGAACTTCTCGCCAGCTTCTATTCCGTACGGCTGAGACGTTTGCTTGTTCGTCTTGAACTTCAGCATCGTCACCACTTCTGCCGGGCTTCCAAACACTTTGTCGTATGTTCCCTCCACCGATGTTATGTATTCGTTCGGATGGTCAACTTCAAACTGCATCAAACAAAAAAAAATCAGGGTGATTCAAGAACAAGAAAACCCTAATCAGTAACATCAAGAATTCAAGAACAAGAAAACCCTAAGCAAAGCAGGAATTCAAGAACAAAAAACCCTAATCAGTATAGATCAATAACTACAGTTTTATGAACTTACATTCTCTGTTCCAAGCAGAGTCTTCTTCCCACGGTCATCTCCGACAACGGTTTCGGTGCCATTGGCGTACACAAACTTGACAAACGATATCCCGATATCGCCTTGTCCCACGAGAACCTTCTTCACGCCGTCATAAACGCCGTCGTCCCACTCACTCCCTGCATCACCACCTTTCGCTTGCAGTTTCTTGGCGGGAGTCAGTGGAGTGCTCGACTGAACGAAATAAGCTCCGAGACCATGAACAACGTCGCTTGCATGTCCATGAAACCCTAGAAGTTTTCCACCTTTGCCATCGAGTTTGAATTCCGTACCAGCAACAATCCCGTACGGCTGAGAGATTCTCCCCTTTGACGTTTCGAAGGTAAGAGATGTAATGACTTCACTGTCGCTGCCAAAGACTTTGTCATAGCTACCCTTCACCGATGTGATATACTCATCTGGATATTCGACCGCAAACTGCAACAAAAAAGAACAAAATTCGAGATTGATTTGGTTAACTATTCCACGTACTTAGACGTTAATTTAAGATATAGAACCTATAGAGGGTGGATAAAATACCTCCTCGGTTCCGAGCAATGTCTTCTCCCCGTGCTCACGTGTTTCAGAGTTTCCGCTCTTTTCATACTCGAACTTGACGTAAGAAACACCGATATCGCCTTGTCCGATGTACACTTTCTTCACACCGTCGAAAGCTCCATCGTCGAATATTGTCCCTCCATTGCCACCTTGAGCTTCCAACTTGACGGGAGGAGGCGTGATGGGTATCACCGACGATGATGACGCGGCAAAGTAAGCTCCGACGGAGTTGAGAGTCGTGTCGGCGTATCCGTGGAACCCGACGACCTTCTGACCATCCACTGCAAGTGAAAATTTAGTACCCTCCTCGTATCCGAACAGCTCAGAAGTAGTCTTCTTGTTGGTTTGGAATTGAAGGGCTTGAATGACTCCATCTTCATCGTAGTAACCCTCCACCGATACGACATAGTCATCTGGGTCAGTGACCTCGAACTGCATAGATTGGTGTGGAACGAGTAAAACAACACATTGGTCAACTCAAAAAGGATATAATTTGCATTTGTATATATACAACAAAATATGTATAGGATTTCAGTTGGGTTAAATTCGGGTTCAATTAATTTAATTTTAGAAAAGCTATAATCATATAGTTTTTATATCAATTTTGGTTCGATTTGATTCTATTTTGATTCAAACTCTGTTCCAATTCTTTTTATTTATTAAAATACCCATTTGTAAAAAAATTATGATTTTTTTTTATTTTTGTATTTGGCTTGGATTCAAGTTTAGAAAAATCATAACATTCGATCTTCATATCGAATTTAACTCGGTTATAATTATACCGATCGATTATTTGTTTATAATCAAAATTTGTTTTTTTGATAAATCGTTATAATCAAATTGGTCACTCCTATATATATATATATATGAACATATAGTTGGTATTTGGTCAACGTACTCAAATTGTATATATATATATAATATGTGTGTATATATGTGATATACGAAAAAGATAGATTAAATTAATTATGTAACGACAAGAATAACATTATATTCTTATGTACCGTTTTGTTGGGAGTGGAACCATCGTTGAGGCCGTGGACCGCACCTTCAACAAGTTGTCCGGACTTTTCGTAGTCGAACTTGACGAAGTCGATGCCTTTACGACCAACTCGCAGGCTGATCTTTTTCACACGGTCGTGGCCATCTTTATCATCCCATGCTTCCCCTTTCTTTCCCCCTTGCGCTTCCAATTTTTGCGACATTTTCCAAGTCTTGAATCTTTAAGAAATCCTAATAAAGTCAAAACTATATGTTTTCGGTATTACTTGTATTTATATGTTGATATAAAAATGACCAACTTGGACCCCGGTAGCTTAGCTTATATGGGCGCACAATTAAATTTGACAAATATCTATCGATATTAATTATCATCGATTCCATTTTTTTTATTTATAACCGATCATCTCAACGTTTAGACTAATTTCGAGTCATAGACTGTCAATAGGATATTTGGAATATATGTCACCCTTTGCCAAATTTAAAGTTCAAATTCCGGACGGACACACCTGTTTCACTCGTTGAACTAATTAAGTTTGGATATATCATCGTTTAGATTTTTTCATAATATAACTTACTAACTCACTTCTGTTAAAGAAGACACACATGAGAGCGGTCACACATGACACAACCACTCCCTCCTTTAGGGACCTCCAAAAGGGGAGAGCTTCGCATGTGCTGCCTTTGCTATCCATTATGCAACTACCGAGCGCTCTCTTTCTTATCCTAACTTTATTTTATTTTTGTTACATCTTTATAAATTTTTATTTCACATAAAAGTCCATGCAAGGCAAGGCGCTCCCCCGATTATACAATTCACATACATTTCACATAAACTAAAATAACATGGGTCACGTAAGTTGTAGTACGTGGTAAAGAATTATTACATTCATCAAGCTTAATATATCTTCTCATGAAGTATCTCATACGTTGGGGGGAGAGATAGAGAGATGGGCTTCACGAATCAACGAAGCCCAAAGAATACGGGCCAATAGTTAAAGCGTCCAAACACGTCCTGAAAAGCCAAGGCCCTTTTATTCAATAACTATATGCTTAAACTTGTGGCTTTTGTAAATTTGGCATATTGGGCTCCCATCTTAAAATCTTCCGTGGATTAATCGTACCAACAATATGGCCTAAACTTATGGCTTTTGTAAATTTGGCACAAGCGTTTCAAGGCAAATCATGTGGAAAATAAGAATTTATAAGATCGATCCCAATAAACTTGGTATTAAAACGATGTTTGTTAAAGTGGGAAAATGAATATATGATTGGAGTAAAATAAGATTAGAGATATGATGGAGAATAATAATGGATACAATATCATTATACCAAATATTGTGTATCTGATTTGTTTCCATTGTGTCTATATTTCCTTTTTATTCTATTTCTTAATTTTCCTATAAATATGTAGTTCATTTTCATTATAATGTAACCAGAAGAAGAAGAGATGTAGCAATAAAAGTAATTTCGTTTCTTTCTATTTGTCTTATTTTATTTCCGCATTTTATTTTTCAATATGGTATCAGAGCAGCGTTGCGATCTGAACTATATGTTTCTCTTTTTCTAATTTTCTAATCTCTTCTTTCTTTTGCATTTTGGATGTTCATATATCCAAATCGTTCAAAGGGAGAGTAAAAAAAACCAGATTCAAACGATGTGCTATGACAAAAAGAAGTCAAAGCTAAAAACTCTAAGATCAAGCAAGATGCTATGACAAAAAGAGTTAAAGCTAGAACTTTAAAGTCAAGCGAAGTGATTTGAAAGAGGTTAATACTCTCTAAATGAATGAAATTTGGTTTCTATGGATTGTTCTAATAACAGTGAAGTTTTTCATCATTTTGTTGTATCTTCAAGATTGATTTTTGAATTCTTTCAAAATCAATCTTGAGGGGAATGTTGAAATAGAAACAAAATATGGAGATTTGATATGATTGATAACAATTAAAGGCATAATATCGATTAAGAATAAAATATATATCGTGATAATTATATTTTGCCTTATTTGTTTCTTTTGTATCTTTATTTCCTTGTTTCTTTCAATAATTTTTTCTATAAATGTATGGATTATTTTCATTGTAATGTAATAAGAAGAAAAGATGTAGCAATAAAAGTGTTTCCGTTCTTTTATATTTTGTTCTTTCTTTCTAATTTAATTTCCGCATTTTATTTTTCAATATGGTATCAGAGCACCAAGGTCCTTGGACCCCTCTGTGATTTTTCTTTTCTTTTCGTTTCCGCTGTTAAATCTCCATCACAATAATGGAGTTTTATATGCCAAAGAGGGATTCAAAAATCCTTGAAACTTTCACATATATAAGAGCTCTTAATTTCATCCGTAATGTCACAAATGAAATGTCTTTGGAGCAGATGAAAAGTGAAAGCACGATTCTTTGGTCAAAGCTTGAAGCACTTCATCCCGCATCAAGTAGCAACGAAAGAGCCAACATCAATGCAACCCTTGTTTATCTCTCCATGCTAGATGGTTCATTCAACGAATTGAGTCTTCAAATACTCGACGAGGAATCTCTACCGTCTATTAACGAAGTTAGGGCGATGGTGAGCAAAGTGGAGTTAGGCAGACTGCTCCAAGGGAGAACAACATGTAAGTATAGCGAAACCGAATACTATAATGATGCCTATTACAGTTTTTGTGCTAAAGTTTTGCAGAGGCTAAAGGATGAGGCCATCTATCAACAAGATGATGGGAACAAAGTGGTGCACTCCGAGGAGGACCAAGCAGCCACAATCCCCACAGAAAAGAAAATATCCATCACAACCGACATGGATAATGATGAAACTGCAGAGGCAGACGAAACCATTATGCAATCTGAAAACGATCAGATCTTAGGAACAGATGAAGAAAGACAAAGTGAGGGGCGGATAGAGACAATAACCATGGTGGACGACTTCCAAGAGGAACATAATTTCCAAAGTGAAGCGATGACCAAGGCAATGATGTTACAATCCAAAACTATTCAATATGACACAGAATGTCTTCATTCGGTTAAGGGGGAAATTTATGTTTTTCACAAGGACTTCTTTCCAGACCGTTGGTCTGAGGGGGAATGTAAGGTGAAAATTCAAACCAATGGTAAAACACTCTATCTTCTCTTGTTTGATTATAATCACGTTTTTGCAACATTATTTTTTGTTTTAAATATAAAACGGAGTGCTTTGGCCTCCTTTGTGTATTTTAATTGGATTGGTGAGTATTTACAGAATTTAGGAACTAGTCTAGAGATGCATTGCAATTCTGAAGGGGAGTTATGGAAGATAATGCAACAATGGAACCAGATTCAACGTGCATGGACAAACCTTTACAACGATGAAGGCATTTACTCGTCAAGATTGGCTTTTCGATATTTCTCCCAGCCAATCTTGAGGGGGAATGTTAAAGAAGACACACATGAGAGCGGTACGACGGAGTGGTTCAACCGAATCGAAGCCAAAAATCAATCTAAGGAAAAACAACGTTTATGGCAATTCGATGGCATCTATTTATACAAAATGGAAAGAGGATCACGACAATTGACAACTTACCAAGTGCAAAAGAGGACAAATATCACGCAAGGAAACTTTGGCTATAATGGAGCAACATATCTATCAAAATATAGTCATTTCTTTATTTACCTATTTCTTACCTTTATGTACACATGTATCCGTTGGCTTCAATATTCTCTCAAGCGTGTATATATGCACACAATATGATGTAATTTAGGATTAAGGGAATAAAGTGAATGTTCTTGTATTCACCCCCTGTTCATCTCGTCTTTTGAATCCTAAATCGGATTTCTACAAAACCGAACTCAATCTCTTTTCTTCTTCGAAATCTGTCAAACATATTCTCATTCTTTATTTTCTACAACTTCCACCCTCTTAATTAGATCTCCAAATATATGATCCGAGCATATAATCTTTTACAAACTAAACAAACACATGACCTACCAATATACATACATATATATATATATGTGTATGTGTGTGTTGATTTGCTGGACAAAAAAACAACAAACCAAGCTCTAGCCGAGTTCGTATAATAATCAAAATGGACAAAAGATGACTGTTTCAGACCCAAATCAAGAAGACAAGGCACAATAGAGAGAGAGAGAGAGAGAGAGAGAGAGAGAGAGAGAGAGAGAGAGAGAGAGGGAGAACCTGTGATTTGCGAAGCTGATAGAGAGAGAGAGGGGGGCGATGAAGAAGTGCGTTGTGATGATCCATGGAGGAGAAATTAAAGTGGTATTTATTGACCCGTTCGGTTACTGACTCTAGAGAAATTGGATGATAATAATACAGATCGTGCTCCACGAGGCCATATATAATAATACCATCATACTTCCTTTTTTTCTTTCTCTTTCTTTATTTGTTTAAAAATTTATATTTAATTACGCAATTATTTATCCGCGTTAATTTATGGCGACCCATTCATTACTCGTCCTAATTAATTTCACATGTTCCCTGTAAGTCTGATTAGTATTTTAATCCCCAATTAAACACTCATATAAAAATCAACTTGCTAATAATAAGTTTTTATTATGGAATGCTTTGCGCAAGTTTTATTTTTTTTATTTGTGTGAATAGGTATATATATATATATATATATATATATATGTATATGTATGTATGTATCTGTATGAGTTTTTATTAAACTAAAAGGAATTTCCTAAGGTTTGGGTATGAAATTGTTTTCTAACTTAGATGATTTGAAATATTTGTTATTAAACTTTTGTATGATGTTCTAATTGCCTAAATGTGAAATTCATATGTTGAAATAAATGTAGTTCTTCAATTTCTTTTACTAGAATCCCCACCTAAAAATCGTGGGAAAATACATATTTTAAGGGAAATGCATATTTTATTGTATTGAGGGATCACTGGCAATAATATAATGATTTGATCCATTGAGTTGTAATAAAAAAATCATTTCCAGACGTGGATCTGCGACAATAATTGAATTTATTTAATTGATCATTACAGGCTGGAGACTTTTTTTTTTGTTTTTAAATAGGAATGGCGTCTAATTTGAGAGATATAATTCTGGGGGTGGAAAAAAAAATAATCCAAATTACTCATAGTCAATGGAAATAAAAAAAAATTCAGAAAATATAATTGAAAAATCCGTTATCATTTTGAGAGCGCTCTATTGTAGTAAAAATAATGTTATACCGTTAACCATTATAAATATTTTATTTATTAGGAGTTACTATTTGGTATTTGGGATTTGGATTGATTATATTCGAGTTTGACTATTTTAATTTTACAAAATTATAACAATTCGATTTTTATATCAGTTTTATTCTAATTTTATTCGATTTCAATGTTTTTATAAAAAATATTTTTTTAAAAAAAATTGAGTTTTATGTTATTAAGGTTTTATTGAAAAAATTTAACTATTCTATTTTATATCGAATTTGATTTATATATTATTCATGCACTTTGTCTCTTTCCCCAGTTTTTTGCTGAGTCAGCAGTTTTTTTAGTCTTAATAAATCTCCGCTATCTTTTCTTCTCTCTCACGTGATGGCTTCTTTTGCAGTTAACAATTCCGATCTTTCATCCCCTTCCGATCTCTAAACACCAAACTCCTCCCCGCCTTTCACTGCCCCTTTCATCCATGACACCGCCACGTGTGGCCAATTTAATTAATAATCCAATAATCAACACAATTTACCAAATAATATATAACTATAATCTAATCAAAATCAATATAAAAACCAATATATATATATATATATATATATATATATATTTAAATACAAAAATTGAATTTGAATGGGATATGAACACTTTTATTATTAAATGCCAAATCAAATCAAGACGAACCAACACACAGTTAATAAAAAAAATCAAATGATTATAATTTTTTGAAACCACTCTTAGTTGCTAATATCCAATTTAAAATTTTAGATGCCAAATCTGAGTATTCAGATACAAAAGTCGAAAATTTGGAGAATAGTAGAATCGAAATCAAATATCCTTAAAAATTGGCATATCCAACCGGTTTATAGACCTTAAATCATTTCTGTAATCTTTTTTTACGAGTTTATCCATTTACGATACATGTGAAAAAAAAAATGCAAGTGTTGTTCCGTTTCGATTTTTAGTTAAATTATAAAACTAATTTGAAATTTCATTTTTTGGTTCACATGAATTTTCAGAGTATTTTGGTTTTATTATATATAGAGAAAATAAAATAAACTCATACTAATATATTCAAATGTCTAAAATCAATATACAAATTTTTAATTTGATAATAATCCAGAGTAGAATTCAAAATTTCTCAATTATCTATACAAAATCATAAATTAAATTGCAATTTCCATCATGACGTGATAGAAAAGAGATTTTTGATGCAAACTTGGCATCTATATATTGACGTGTCTTGACACATAATACAAATAGTCAGATTGATACCGCGTCAGCAGACACGTCATCAAATCGGTTTAAAAATCAGAATTGCTTTTAATTTAACTGAAATTTCAAAAGAAAAAACTCCTAAAAATTTCAAAACTTGTAATCGGTGGAAAACTAATTTCGGAACTTACAAGTGTTTTTATTTATTCCCGAACTTGAAAAATTTAACATGATAATTTCTAAACTTGCTTAAAAGTGTCATAATCGTCCTAATAATAATTTTGATCAAAATAATGTGTTGAATAATCCTACGCAATGCAGTGAATTATCAAGACATGTCAGACTTTTATGTCATATATGTGGAACTTGATTTAATAGATACGTTTTAACAAAACCGGTTCGTAATAGTGAATGATGTCGTTCTCATCGGAAAATCTGGGATAAAAGAGATCTAGTTCTGATGACGGTTACTTCGACGTCAAACGCTCTTGTTTCAGCGGAGGCACCGTCGATCTGGATCTAGAGCTCAAGAACTGTCAATGATAGTAATTATCCTAATCTCTGTCGTTATCCCAAATTTTCCAATGAACTATAATTTTTACTATCACGAACCGGTTTTATTTAAACCGTATCTATTAAATCCAGTTCTACATACATGGTATAAAAGTCTGATGTATCTTGATAATTTACGCGTCCCGTAGGATTGTTCAACAAACATATTATTTTGATCAAAACTATTGTTAGGACGATTATGACACTTTTAAACAAATTTAGGAATTACCGTGTTCAATTTTTCAAGTTCATAAATAAATAAGAACAACTGTAAGTTCAGGAATTAGTTTTCCATCGAAATTGCAAGTTTAAGAATTTTTAGGAGTTTTTCTCAATTTTAAAAAATATATATTTGGGATTAGGGTTTTGAAGTGAACCCTGAATCCTCTGAACTCTAAATCTATTTCATTAATATCTCTCTCTCAAGATAGAGAGGGTTCTTCCATTTTGCATTATTTCTCCTCTGTAAAATGACAACATAATCAAACAGACATGTAAAGAGTTGGAGGAGAAATTGCAGAAATGAAAAAAGAACTCTAGAGAAGACGCTATCTTTTTTATTTTTTCCTAGTTTTTTAGGGAAAGCTTCACAAATATACAGTTTCTGTCACAATTATTTCTTCGATACACATCTAAATTAGAACACATTATTAAAAATATATCTTACCCTCTTTAAAGTGGAAAAGACTTACTTACCCTAAATGGATATAAACAAGTGGGAAAATAAGTACTGAGACATACGATAGTTTTCCCTTCGATATATCCTGGAAAAAAAATTAGGGTTCATTTGCTTCCATTTTTTCACATTCATCTGTTGATTTTGCAAGAGAGAAAGGAGAGAAATAAAAAATAAAACCAAAATCAGCGACGATCAGAAGAAGACCCAGAAAATGGGGGAAATTCGTCATCCACTGAGAAAGATTCTTCGTCAATAGTGGCTTCGATGGCAATGAAACTTCGTTTTCTAGTCTAACAGAAAGAGAAGAGACTAGGAGATCGAGGAGAACGGATTCTTCTTATGAAAAAACTGTAAGTATTCTCCAACATGTTACAACTATGTGTAATTTTAGGGTTAAAGTTTTGATGTGTGAATTTTTAGGGTTAAAGTTTTAATTTTTTATGTTTAGCGTTTGGTTGATTCCACATAAAAGGTAAAAAATAACACAAGGTAGAAAACAAAATGATATAGTAAGAGACTCTAAAATTAAAATTGCAATTAGAAGATTGCAAAAAAAATGTTGAACAAGTAGTCACTTTGAACTTGCTAGATAAAAATAATGAAGATGATAAATGAATATATTAAGAAATGATGATATGAATAATATATCAGTCAAGGTATTGTCAAAGTGTTTCTATATAGAAGTTGTGGATTTTTTAGAAAAGTATATGACTGTTGAAGAGTTTGGATTTTTTACACAACGATCGCAACTAAGGCATATCTTTCACACGAAAAAGAAGTAAACATTGAAGCTGAATTTAATGGTAGCATTCATGAATCAAACTATCAAAAGGAAGAAAGATAATGATCTGTGGTTCTGTATTAATGGAGTACCAATTCGAAACTCATTGCGTGAGCATGCAGTTCTTTTGGGCCTGGATTATAATCCATTATTGGAGAACTTGGAAGAACTCGGCAGAACTAATTTCTACAGAAAGCATTTGGGGAAGAAAGTTATGAAAAGGTTCTCAAGACAAGACAAATGTTACAAAAAAATTTGGTGAAATGTGTGTAGATGAAGTGTAGGACAAGTATAAGATGACTTATTTGGTATTGTTTAGTTATGTCATAAGGCATCAATACAATGAAGTCGTTAATCCATTTCTGCTGCGGATTGTTAACGAGACAGAGGCCTATAAAGCATTTCTTTGGAGAACATATACCTTTGAAAATGTTCTGAGTTATGTGTTCAATTAGTTGAATGGGCATAGAAAACCAGTCAATCAATGGAACCTGCAAGATTTCATAATACCACTTATGGTAAGTGAATTAATAAAGCAAACAAATTAAAGAGTGATGAAACGAGAGAATGAGGAAATGCAATATTAATGTTGTGTGGTTTAAATTGTAGATGGTCTTTCGAGTGTATTCTTAGAATTCGTAATGGCGGATGGTACAATGACGTCACTACAAAAAAAAGGCGCAATACCAACAGTTATGTCCGTTGAAAATGACCAAAAATCCGTTGATAAATATGTTTTTCAACGGAGCTCTTCCTTGCAAACTCTTTGTTGAAAATGGAAATCCGTTACAATCCGTTGATAATTATGGTTTTCAATGTAAATATCATCAATCTTGATGTTAGAATAATCGACACTGACATTGTTTGCATTACTCGTATATAGGATGATTTA